TCTCTCTCTCTCTCTCTCTCTCTCTCTCTCTCTCTCTGACGGAGGGAGAGAGAGACACAGTCTCTAAGCTGGTCTCTCCTCTCCTCACAAACACCACACACAACTACCCAGTGGTTAAAAGACGGTGCCAAGATGTGTCAACCTCTAGGCAGAAGCTTTATTACTTTTTAACTAAAGCCACGATAAGGATAAAAATAATAAAAGGCAATTTCCCATCTAACCAGCACCACTGTGGCCTGACTCTTCGTCCTCCTCATTCAGATGAATCACTGGTTCCTGCAGCACATCTGCTGTTTTTTGGCCAGTGACACATCTGCAGCGTGCCCTCATGCTCCAACGGCCGCACGCTCTCACGAACACACACACAGGCCTTGTCCAGCAGTCTGTGGCTTACACTCGGGATTGTGTTTTACAACTGAGCATTACTGCCAACTTCAGCACACCCCATGCACCTCAGGATGAAAGCCCTGAGCAGTAGTAGCCCTTGTCTTCCAGGTGAAGTGATTTCACAGCAGAGAACAGCTAACCTTGTTTACATGTCGGCATTTCACCGCAGCAGCCTGCCTGGGCCAACGCTCTGCGGCCTTACCTTGTCCCTGCCAATTGGAAGGGGCATGGCAGTGTACAGATTCTTCCTTCCATCAAACACTGGCTTCCGATCCCCGAAGATCTGTGTCTTAAAGTGCTGGACCATGTGCTCCACTATCTCCCTGAAATGGAGAATTCAGGCAAACTGTCAGTGAAGCCAAGGACACATGCAATGCACACGGCTGGTGTTTACCCACTAGCTTTGAGGCCACTTTATGAGACCTGAGTTTCCTTTTGTCACATGGCTTTTGACCCTTTTCTGTAACAAATCAACCAAGAACCTTAAGTGAGCTTGGGCTTATTCACTTGGTCACACAAACATGTGAGAACTTCCTAGTGTGCACACAGGGCAGATACGGACACTTCAGTAACTTCTAAGACATCCAGGAGCACTGAAGAGGGGCTGTTGGGATTTCCATTCCAAAGTTGTGGGCTGGCCACCTGAGCCTGTTTGTGACCCTGCAGGCCCCCACAGTCTACATTCTCTGCTACTTAACACAGAATGCTTGGCTGCAGTGGGTATGACAGGCTTAGCCTTTGGTGTTCCCGGGGTCCCTAGCATTCCACCAGGGTTCAAGAACGAAGGCCTTGAACTTGATCTAGAGTCAAACCCAGTCCACGGTGTAGGTCCTGCCCAGCCACAGCTCATCTGCAAAGCTGGGCGTGACACAGATGCCTGCCGCTGTGAACCACTGAGACTCGGGCTTTTGGCTCCTCAGGCATCACTGCAGTAGCAACCTTCAGCACAAAGAAGTCATTCTGCAGCTCCAAAGGCTGCTGGAGCTCAGCCCCACCCAGACTCCCCTGCTGGCCCTGAGCCTCAGGAACTACACCCGCAGGGCCCTTCTGAGCCTCTGCTTCTGGAGGTCTTTCTTCTCCTGGCATTCTGAATATTTCTGAGGTATTTCAACCTTGCTTACCAGCCATCTTCCCCTGGCACACAGCACCTACTGGAGTACAGGTGCCCAAATGTCAACGTGACCCACCCCCCGGGGCCCAAGCAAGGGAAAGACTCTCAGAGGAACTGGCAGCTGAGCCCCAGGGCACAGTGAGAGAAGAGTGCAGATGTTGCCAGTGTGGAAAGAGGAGTGGAGCCCAAACTTAGCTCTGCTGGGTCCTCAGGGCAGAGCCTTGGCTATCCCTCAGGAAGCAAGAATCCAGGCACACCTTCCACAGCTTCCCAGAAGGGGAGGCAATTTGCCTCCCCAGGCTGTCCTTACCCAAATGGGCTTTGCCCAGCAGAACTGCATCTAGCCACAGGAGAATTTCTGAGGGTCCAGCTTGACCCCATCATCAGCATTCTGGAGCGCCTGCAGCAGTGTCCTAGTGCCACCTGTGAGGGTACAGCCAGTCATGGCGGGCCCACCTGGGAGTGTGGCAGGTACTGTGCTCTAGGTGGCCCCACGTTTGATGGAACTTAATGTAGCCAGATTAAAATGTGCTTGGAAACAACAGCTCAGTGTGCCAAGACAAAGCCAGCACATGCTGAAATGTTAGTAATAGAGGCAGGGAACAGCTGAACCAGGCTGACCTGTGGACTCAGGACAGACTGCACATGTACCCACAGACCCTGGGAGAAAGCACCTCATTTACTGCTTATTACTGCTCGCTAGGGGCCAACCCAGGACCAGCACATGCTAGACAAGCCACATGGTGCCTTTAAACATGTTCTGGATGTTCAAAGAACAATCCAGAGCCCCTAGCACATGAAGTCCCTCCTGTGTTAATTCACGTGGCAGGGAGCTGAGTTCAGACCTCATCACAACTCTTTCAGGTTGATTCAGGGCAGGAATAGGGAGGGGCTAAGTCATCTTGAGCATGCAGCCCCCAGCCAGCCCTGGCACGCTCTTGAGGGAAGGGAGCTCAGTCTAAATACTCAGATGTGGCTCCAGAGGGCTGAAAGGTGCTCTTGCCAGGGGGCAGCAGACAGCCCTGCCCATCATCCAGACCCATGCTTCAGGCCCACACCACACCCTCGGGCTGTGGTCTGCATCCATGGAGGGAAGATGCCATTGTGGATGAATGACAACAGGCTCAGCAGCTGTGATGGGATGGTGACTCAGCTGCCCAGGTCTAGAGTAGGGTCTTGCCTGGCACAATTACTGCTAATTCCCATGCACCTGCCAGGGAATTTTCTTCCTCCTTTTAAACACTGCAGTAAAACAGGAAGCATAAAATTTACCATCTCTATCACTTTAAGTGTAGAGGTCACCAGCACTAAGTACAACCCCACATGTGTGTGACCATCATCAACATCTATCTTCAGAACGTTCTCATCTTCCCCAGTGAAATTCCTCACCCTCCCTTTGCCAAGCTGCCAGGGCTTTTCCTGACCAGAGAGCAGCTGCAGAGGCATCTGGGAGGAAGCCTGGCAGTTGCTATTCCTGGAGTTAAGTGTGAATGCCGGAAGCCCAGGACTGCGCCGCGTCAGCATGGTTTCCCAGACACACCCCTGCACGGAGCACAGAGCCAGGCCCCTAACTTCACTAAGATGGAAAAGTGAGTCCTCAGGACTACCTATGCACCAGCCCAGTGTGCACTGCATGTCCAGAGGAGCAACCCACACGCAAATCAACAATGGCAAACCGCCAGCTCTCCTTCTCTGCCCTGGACTCAATGGGAAACAACTCATTTCCTCAGGAGAACCTAGGAGGTCACACTGCTACTGCCATTTTACAAGCGGGGACACTGAGGCACAGAACCACAAAGAGGTGGAAAGGTAGCTGAGTGCTCTCTCTTCTCCATCTGGTTTCCTGACCCCTGGCCACTGCTGAGCACTAACAGCCACATGCTTGCAAATCCAAGGAAGCCAAGATGTTCCCTGCTTGATGTTCTTTTTGTGACAGTTCTAGAAGTTTCTTCTTTCAAAAAAGTCATATTTTAGTTAATTTCTAGGTATGTGGGGTTTGGGTCACTACCTTCCTTTCTGTTGTTGTTTAATTTTTAAAATTTATTTTATTTTATTTTTTGGTCTTTTTGAGACAGGATCTCCCTGTAGTGGGGCTGGCCTGGAAGTTACTATGTAATCCAGGCTGGCCTTGAACTCACATTGATCCACCTGCTTCTGCCTCCTCAGTGCTGGAATTAAAGGCCTGCACCACCACACTTGACTGATTTATTTCTGTTTTATGAGTATTATGACAGCATGTATGTAAGTATAACCAAGTCATGCAGTGCCTGAGAAGCACAGAAGAGAGCGTCGGATCCCCTGGAACTGGAATTATAGACGATTGTTGAATGCCATGTGCGTGCTGGGAATCAAACCCAGGTCTCCTGCAAGAACAGCCAATGCTAAGCCATCTCTCCAGCTCCTGTTTGTTTTGACAGGGTCTCATTCTGTAGCCCAGGCTGGCCTGGAATTCACAATGTGATCCAAGCTGGCCTCACACTCACTAATCCTCCTGCCTCAGCTTCCCATGCCTACTATTTTTATACTTGGGCATCTAAAGTGAGGTTCTGGAACCTGGGCTCCTATTATGTCTTAAGAGATCTTGCCTCTTTACTATACACAAGGTGCCACACTGCCTATACATAGACGGTATACCATACCATCATGAGTGAGCTACTTATCAACAGTTTCCTGTGTTTCTGGAGAAGGCTGTCACACTCTGCCCAGCACCCACATGGTGATAACAACTGTCCGTAACTCCAGTTCCAGGGGATCCAATGGCCTCTTCTGTCCCCCAAGGGCATTGCACTTACCTATATGCAGGCAATGCACTCATACACATAAAATAAAAATAATAAATAAAAATTAAAAAAAAAACAACAACAACAACCTAAAAGAGCAGTCCTTCAAAGGGCATGCGATATTTTCACTTTTTTTTTTTTTTTTTGTTTTTTTGAAGCAGGGTCTCCCTATAGCCCCAGCTGTCCTGGAACTCACTACGTAGACCAGGCTGGCCTTGAACTCACAGAGAGCCGTCCGCCTCTGCCTCCCAAATGCTGGGACTACAGGTGTGCGCCACCACGCCCGGCTTTTCACTTTAATATATGTACTCAACTGCCCTTTACAATTCTAAACCAGCCCCATGGGAGGCTGAGGTGGGAGCCAGGGGAAAGGGCTGTGGGCGCACACCTCCCTGTAGGCCCTAGCTCTAGCCACACCCTCAGGCAGCATGGGGCTTGGCTGCCTCCTGAGGCTACCTCAGTGCCACAGATGGAAGCCCAACCACAGGAGGCCTGAGCTTGAGGGGTGGACGGCACTGCTGGAGAAAGGCACGCAGAACGCACCGTAGTGTCACAGCCCTGAAAAAGGTGACACGTCTCTTCGGAGCCTTCACAAAGCCTCCATGTTGGGCCCATTCAACACCTGGCACATATACAGAGTAAGGTTTTGGGGTCACCTTTGCTTTCACTCAGATTCAGTGCACAGGACAAAGGGGTGGGGTCGGGATGTGGACAGTAAGGCACATTTACACCCAGGACAAGGGGACACGAGCAAACCAGGACTCTGCTGTCTTCCCTTCCTGAAGCCCACTTTTCCAAGCTGTCCTGCTGGCCTCTTCCCCTGGGGTGGGAGTGGCAACCCAGGGGTAGAGTAGCATCAGGAAAGTGGCCACATGGCTGGCTGCAGGAGGGGAGAGTACACATCTTGGCACAATGTTAGTTCCAACTCTGACACGCTGTGACCGTCCTATGCTGAGAAAGGACCTACTTGAGGCCCACTGCAATCAGCAGTGAACACTCACGCTTCCAATACCTAATCAGCCAGCAGCTCTCCTGATATCCTCAAGCCTAGCACACTGGCTCTGGCCTCGGTCTGCAGCTCCAACCCCTCAGTTGCCAAGTAACCATGAGCTGAACAGTTTCTAATCACAGCAACCTCGGCTCCTTACACCCATGACAGCAACAGGAAAGGGGCAGTTGAGTCCATAAGACGTCACACAGACACCGTCTGCCACGCGCCAAGGCCGGATGCGAGGCCTGAGTCATACCTCCTTTCAAAGAAAAGGTTTCCTGCACACTGTGGATGACCTGACAAGAGCCCGACAAGCCCGCATGAACGACAAGCATGCCCTTTGCACCCTCATCCCAGTACCAAGGGAGTCTGTAGTCCTTGGGCCCCAACACTGAGCCCCACAGGTCCCCATCCCAAGAAGCTAGAAGCCAAAGTGTCACA